CAGATATCGTTGTTGATTTTCAAAGAGACGAAAAAAAGAAAATCATAACTTATTTCACCAATAATATTGTAACTCTACTTGACTTTTGTGATTTTCGTTTTTTTGGAGGTGGGAACAAATGACGGACAAACCACGAAAACCGATCGAATCGTCGTTGAAGAATAACGAACAAACAAAGCGGTTGATCTGTATAACGGGGCAAAGAATGAAACTCTAAAGGGATCCTATATGCCGAAAGGAGAGCAGGCGAGAAACGGAGACTCATAAAAAGGGCACTATGCAAGACGATCCCATGTCGCGATGACGACGCCCTGGCGCCCTGATCCCCGACACCTTCCAATGCGCCCCATAAAACCTATTCTCAGCTGAAATATCTCGGACGGGCTGCCGCTGGATTTTTTTTTACCTGCGCGGAGACGAGGGGAGATTCGACTCCTGGCAGTTGTAGCATTGCGCGCGATAACGCTCCGATGCGATTCCGAGACTATTACAAGACGAGATTCAATTATCGAAATCGTAAATTCGCTTCGATACATCGCGTATCAAAATGTAACGCTAATGCAACCACACAAAGAGAACGTTTCAATATTACGATCTGATAAGTCCGAGGTGTATTTCACCAGGGGAGATCTCGCCAGAGGTAATGTTTCAGTATCATCTAATGATCCTTAATCATTCTAAAGCCATCTTTGACATACGCGAGATAAATTTAATAGTAACCATTAAACAAGCGAACGGGAATATATCTCAGGCGTGTATATTCTACACTTCAAAGCCATGCACGACCCATAGAGAGGCGGGACAGGTCGTTTGGTGAGTCGTCGCGAGAATAAATGATCTCCGCGGGTCGAATCCGAGTTGCGGATGAAGGCGCAACCCGCTATCGTCCCCTCTTTCCTCAGCCTCAGCAGACTCGAAACGACTTTACCAAGCGTTCGTTCGTGGAGAAATACGACGAATAATAAGAATGCCATTGATTAAAAAATTAAACGAGGCCCCTATAAATACGCGCCAGGAGAACGGCAAGAATGGCGCCGAGGGAAAGAGCGGAAAGAGAAAAAAAAGGATTGTGCGAAACGTGCGGAGCAAAGGGAGGCGGAAGAAGGAACGGTTAATTTGTTGTGCATCAGCAGCACCAGCAGCTACGAAGACAAGCTACAGAGAGAGGTACCGGGGCCATACTAAGAAAATAACTAGAGATAATTACGCGCATAAATCAGAGTGTTAATATTCGGGGGCGTAGGTAGGAGGCGCAGGTAGATATATTCGCCTATAGGTAGGCAGGACTCGTGGATGTATACAGGAGGAAAAGGAGTAAGGGGGCGAGAGGTCGGACGAGAGGAGACAGCGAGAGACGGAGAGGGTATGAGCGGAATAATGCCAACTTCGGATCGGTAGATCATTCGTGGCCGTTGGATACGCCTCCTTGTTAGCCTGGGTTTACTTAGTCCTTCGACGCTCCTACGACGTGCGTTACGCCCGCTAATAGCCCACCGGTAACGAACTACCGTCGACCTTTTTTGAGGACCTTTTAAGCGAAAACGCGTTTCTCTCCTCTCGCGCTGCCTCTTATCGATCATGGCCGTCATCGCGAGAAAGGATCGCCCCGTGTAGTCGCCTCTGAAAGCGAATTCCTTCCCACGTTTGCCGCGCTGCCCCGACGAAAGGATATAACGCCACTTAAAGAGCAGTCCTCAGGGCGATATTCGTAATTTATCGGTCGCAAATGGAAGGACTCGCGCGGGTAATTCGCTCGGCTAGTACGCGCGAATTATTCCCAGTCGTCGCGTCGTCCCCGTGATTCCCGTGCCCGTTATAATCGCTCGACATTCTCGACAGGTTCGTGAGATATCGAAATTTTTCTCGATCGACGAGGGTACACCGCGGTGGCGAGGCGAAACAAAACGGGGAAGAAAAAAAAGGAGGTAGGGCGCACAGTGGCGTTGAAACACTCATAACAGGTGGACCGATACTCGGCACGAAGATACATCTTCGAGGTGGGCGGTCCCACACTCCTTAAATCAGCCCGCAGCCACCATAACATTAAGCCCACCTCCTCTCTCACGGCACGTCTCATCTCCCGCCGTTTATTTGTTTGCTTAGAGCGAGTAATTAGAATCCGATACAAATGGTTATTATTTATCGGCATGGAGAGGCGAGCAGAGCCGACGAGAGGCCCGGTACGAATGCACGGAACGGACGGACGGGGTATGCCTCCTGATTGCCTGGCGTTATTAAACCGGGAGATACTACGAGATAAATACACGGAGGCCAAACCCGCAAACACCGGCCACTATATAATGTTGCCGGCGATCCTTACTAACAGCTTTCATTCGCGAGCGACGCAGAACTCAATTATTATAGCGATGTCCTCCGCGAACGCTGCACTATTAATAATTCGTTACGTTTTACAAGCGCCTAACGTCGTTTAATAAAATCAAACTTTTTCGACTTTATTCAACTTATTGGTATTTTCGGAGGTTAATTTAAGACTGATATTTCAAAATCTATTTGATTTTTGGAAAGTAAAAGATTAAGTAAACGCAAAGTAAAAAAGTTTCACGAGCGCTATCGGCGATAGTTGCAGCTGTCGAAGCATAGAAGCGGGTTCATGGAAATAAACGTAATGAGGTTCCCGATCGAACAGGGGCCAGCCGCGCGCGCGTCACGTCAGACCGATGCACCCGTCCTGCATTTCCGAGGAACGCACCGCGCGACTCACAGAGGCGAATCTATCGCGATGCCAGACGCGTCCGTTAATAAAGCATAATGGGCACACAGCGCCTCTCTCCCTCGATGACGACGATGTACACCTGACCCACAGAATACAATGGCCGTCTACATCGTTCGGGCACGAATCACGTAAGCCGTGTGTATTTACGGATCTCTTTAATGGGCTTTGTATAAAAAAAAAGATACATGCCGCGCCATCGTGACCAGTAGACCATATACAGCAATGAAAGATGTAAGATGTAATAGAGATCGAATAAAAATATTTGATCTCTGTTCTTCTTTATTTCGAAACACATAAATAAACTTTTAAGTCTCATCAACTTATATAGTTTCAAAATTTCCCTTTAAAATTACAATTATTTGATACTATTAATTGTTCGTTACACTAACAAAATCTTCGCGGATGAAATCGTTAGCCGAATATTGAATAATCGTCCGATTTATTTATTCCGACGAAGGCTCCATGGGGGATGGAGATATGCCGGGGGTAACGTTGATTAGCTCCGCTGTTGATTTAATTACCGGGAGAGTAATTGGCATGCCTACTGACGATCCCCTTCCCTTTCCCTCTCGACACAGACACCCCCCCTGTCGCTTACTTCACTCGCTCTCCAGCACCCTATCGTCTCACACCCTCTCCAGCCCAAACTGTTGCATATTCATCGATGATAGATTATTATTATATGTCTACGTGTCAAAGACTCGCAGTCAGGAACAATTGATCTTGGACAATATCTATTCGATACACATATCTTCGATAAAAATTTACGCGACCAACAACGTGACAATTTGGTGAATGTTCACTTTATGTTAATCAAAATCGACCATAAGTCCTCCTCGAAAAATTGCCGACGCTCGAGTCTGTTTTTTTTTGCCTCTCGCTTTCCAAATATCGTAAATTGGTTCGTTCGCCTGGTTTATCGTGCGTGTTTTGTGGAGAATATGCGCAAATGAAAAAAAAAGTCAGTCAGAAAAACAAACAACGACAGAGCAGTTCGTTGCCAATTTCCGCGAGTCCGAGACACGTCGTAAAAAGGGTACCGCGGACGGTTAGGTTCGTACGGTAGCGGTTATAGGCGAACGTATATCGCGGCAATGTTATCCGCAAACACGCGGGTTCGGCCAATTTATCCCAAGGGATGAGGCCAACGTGGCATGGCGATGGTGGGTGTGGGGCAACCTTGTCCAGCGGAATGAATTCAGCACGCAGCCCCTGTGCGGTCAAGCCGCCTCTACCCCTTTCGCCGACTATCTCCAACCACCGTGCAACGTCCCCACCTTTTGACCATTTCACCCTCTCATCCCTTCCTCTTTCTCGTTCATCCGATGGCGCGCGCGCGCGTGTTAAGGTCGCTTCAGAACGTCCAGAGAAAACGATAGAAACGAGTGATAAAAGAAACGACAAAATTGCTAAAATATCAAAATTTAATTCGCGACCAACTAAATTCTTGAAAATATTATTCTGTTAATTTTTTTCGATATATCACAAGATTGCAATTAATTATTATTAATGTAGAATGTATCGGAGTTTATTTTCAGCTGTATCTCCCCTGAAGGAGCAGACTCGTGCTGCATCCGTGGCGGTCGAAACCACTTGACAGGCGGCGATTTATAATCGATACAAGTGGTGTGAATAGCCCTTAACCCGCTACCATCCGCCACTCCTGATCCGCTCCACATATCGCTAGCATGGTATACAACGGCCGCCTGATTGCCACGGGGGCTCTTAGATTTATTGACCTGTCAATGGCGGCGCGCGAAAACGGCGAATTTACAACGCCGCAGGTGTTAAGTTCTGCCGTGCGTGTAATAACGGCCTGATCCCCAGGCCTACGGTAAGCCACACCGTAATTATATTTCCGAACCTCCCGCCCGCTACCTTTGTCATTATCACCCGAGGTGGCGTAGCTGTAATTCAATGAGATCCATCGTGCGACCGCGCGTGTATATTACGTGTACGATAAAGGTCCGATAAACGACGCGCGAGTCTAGGAAATTTTAGCATGCAACGTGGCCGCTGCCAGTGCCACGAATCATACGTTCTCTTTGTACACGATGTTCCAAGATTGTCGCATTTATTTTCTGCCTATAAATATATACTAAAGTTCCAAACCCGCAAAGCAGGATGACGCAAATTTCGAAAAAGAGGGCAAGATAATTTATAAGCAAATAAATAAAGCAGGGTGAGTTGCACGAAACGCTCACAAAATGATTCACAATTTGTAAATCTCATACATGGCGGAATAAAATGATATAGTTTATCCTACCTTGAGCCTGGTGAGACGAGGTTCCTCGGCCGCGAGCTTCGCCAACGCCTGATAGTCTCCCTGCGCCGCTCTGACCAGCCACTCCCGCGATTTTCCGTCCAGTTGCTTCGGGAAAGCATCGATCGTAGCGATTATTAGCGATTAATGGGCACGAGGGATCGCCGGGATCGATCAGCAGCACGCGGAAGATCGAGCGGGCCGTTCGATCGAGAGCGAGCGAATTTTAATTAAGATCCCCGGCCACGATCTGGCGTGCATTTATCAGGGGCCGGCGATGCACGTCCGACCAGGGAAGAGAATTACGGCCCGTGCTGCGTCGCTCTCGTCGGATTGGCGCGCGCAATAATCGCGATCTGCGGTGGGTGATGAACTTACCGAGGCAACGGAAGCGCTGTCATCCTCGTCGGCGCCCTGTGGAGAAAAGAAGAGAGGAAGGGGGGTTAAAGTTGATCCCTCGAAAAATCAACATTACGCGCCACGTCACGCGGACGGTCGCGGAGCATGCAGCCGCAAGTCGCGGCGAAAACCGGTCCGCTGTATATGGCGTTGGCGTTGGTGCGCTCTCCGCAGAAAGAGTGAGAGAAAGAGAGAAAGAGAGAAAGAGAGAGAGAGAGAGAGAGAGAGAGAGAGAGAGAGAGAGAGAGAAAGTGCACTCTCGCTATATCGCGTGTGTGCCACGATGGCGAGCGCACGAAGCGGTATGGGGAACGACAGGGGGGAAGAAAATGCGTGAGCGCAGCGGGAGGCCACCGAGCACGGGACGCGCGCTTCGGCCATCAGATTGATATACGGATCCAATAATTGATTCTCCGACGCAAGGCCTTGGAGAGGCTGGCTGGTCCGCACGCACTTACGCAACCCCCGACCGTCGCCCGTCGTCCAAGAACAGACGTCCCATTTCGGAAACTGCCGTCCCCCGGACGGTCGGCAAACGATTCACGATCGTGATTATCGATGGAGCATAAAAGCACACTTAAGATACTCTCGATAAAATTCTTGTCGCGCACGGTGCTTCGTATCGCCTACAAAACTCTGCTTTTAACAAAGAATCCACGCGCTGTATGATTACGTAATTCTATTTGTACGTGTTTTCATATTAATATTCTGTGTCGTGATAAATCTTAATCTTAATAATATCCTTAACAGATCTTGATAATATCCTTAAATCATACACACGCGCGCGCGCGCGCACACACACACACATACACTCGCAAACACGTGAATAAACAGTTTAACGAGAAACTCGTCGTTTAATCGCGCTCGTACACGGCGCCGATCGCTGTGCAGTGTTCCACGTTATACTTACGACGGTATATGCACGTGGTACAGTAGGATGACGCGACGAAGGAGGTGGCGGTGGAGGAGGGAGGAGGTGAGGGCTCTCTCCTGATCCCAGGAACGCTAAACGACTACTCATCCCTGTTAAACTGTTTGTATTTTCACTCGTCACGGCCACGTCGGTTGTTCGAGGTGCTCATATCGACACTCGACCCCGAATCGATCGTGACTCTTCATAAATTACTTCCACGGGTCGGCCGGGGCGTAAGAGATGTGCGTTTGCACTTTGGCCGAGTCATCATTAGCCAGCCACGATATATCTTTATCCATCGACAATATCGCGCGTGTCCTTAAGTGAAATCACGATTCGAAGGACGCGCGTCGATAGAAGCGAGACGAGTATGTCTGGCATTCCAACATTAATCCAATTCCCCGCCCTTATCAAAAAAGAGAGTACGTCGTGTCGTGCCTCTTCCGGAAATTCCGTCGCTTAGAAATCAGAATGATAACCACTGACCCCCCGTCGCGTCAGGTGGTGCATCGAGGTGCGTTCCCAGCTTTCGTGCACTACGTGTGCCCTCGCAAACACGTCTGTACGCGTGCGAATGCACAGATGCATGCTGATAGGACGGACTTTGTTATATGTATGTATCACAGAGGCCATGCCTCATCGGCGATGCAACAATTGTACTTGCGATAAAAAGACATTATTGCCTTATGGCGGCGGTAAATGGATGTGTGTGAATTATTTTTAATTTAATCTTTTCATGAAGCAACTGTCTTATTAATGATTATTATTAATGATAGGTATATACCTATAAATAAAGTACACTTTCTTATCTCTCTTGTACGAAATGCATAGGAACACTTGATAAAAGAATACATAAATATCCCCGATTACTAGAGAAGTATATAAGAATACGTAATAACTCGATTCTCTCAAAAAATTCTTCCTCATACATTTCGAGATTAATATGCAAATTGTCGCGAAATTATGCAAGCAGCGGAAAACGAGAGAATTTTACCGAGAGCCAAAGAGATTTCGAAGAGACAAACTTGGAAGCAAACTCGAGAAAATCTTCGCTCTCGATATTGAAAATAACGGACACTCGCGATCATATGGTATTCAAATCGCAGCGAATCGCTGATTGATTTTTAAGCGATCGCGCGATACGACTCGACCGATTTTCGATGAGATTCGGGGGCAGGGGACACTTGTTCGCTCGTATCTCGGACCTGGAGATATGTAAATGTTCTCATCCTCTCATATGGTGCGAGGTCTCCACGAGAACGATCAGACAAACGGACCAGTCAGCGATGGCACAGTCACAATGTGCTATGAGCCATAACGGCGTGGTTATCAGATAAGCTTATAAGACCCAGGTAATCGTAATAGCATCGCAATGGCGGTTTCTCTGGCTCCATCGTGGTCGATGAACGGAGATGGGGAAGCGGTGGATAAACGATGAACGAAGACGAGAGAAGAAACGAGTCGCCGGGCCTCTCTTCCCCATCGGCGAGTCATTGTTCGGTCGTAATTAATATTTTAATTGAGATCAGCGGAAATTAATTAACGCAACAGGCCTGTTAAGGTCGTTCGCCTGAACCGATCAATCGTGATCGTGGCGCGCTTGTCAGGATCAAGATTTAATTCCGTCTTCTTATTCGTAATATCTCTATCAGGACGTGCAAGACGTTATAAGCTTGATAAGAGGGTACGATTCACAAAAAGGAAATAATCGTGAGTAAATTGATTACTGCCACAGCAAATATTACTTGAAGAAAGAAGCAAGGATCCATTAATTCGTCCATTATGAATATTAACAAATCTAACTTTACGCATTGGATGATAATTCGGATAGCTAAATATTCTATTGTAACGGCGGAGACATATGCAGATGGACGCTCGTATATCACATTCGTAATCGGATAAAAAGCTAACGACGCGACGCATACAAGCCGCATAATCAGTTAGGATGTGATCCTAGCACGAGCGAGCGGCGAACCGAGTATCATAGAAATGGATACAAAGGGGCCATCAGCAGCCACGGTAACGAGCCAGCCCGACCTACCCACCCCATCGTATCCCCCATTGTTATCGCTCTTCGTGGCGCATCAGCGCCGACTCAAAAACACGCTCTCCCGGCAGTTAAGCCGTGCACATTCGCGCGTCTAATTCCGCGAATGTGGCCAGCGGCAGGTACTCAACTACTCAGCAGGCATGCACGTGCTTACTCGTGCCCTCCTGTCTCTTTCTCTCCGTGTCTCCCTCTCGTTCTCTCTGTCTCTCTTTTACGCTTCCCGCGCCTCTCCCACGTCTCGAACAATAAAAGGAATACGCGGTGTAAAGCAGATAGCAAACGCGCGCTCGCTCTCTTCAGGGTGGAAACGTTTTAATAAGCAGACGTGGCCTCTCCGAGGGGGCGTATAAATATATTCGGTTGCTCTAGCGAGAGCCGTACTCTTGCACTGCAAAAGAGTGAGAGACGTGATATGGGGAGACTATAAGGGAGACTGGGTGGTGCACCGGGGGCGGATATATCGGTGAGACGAGAAGGGTAGAGCGGGGGACGGCGGGCGTGGTAGAACGAGAGGCAAAACATGTTGCGGCACGAGCTGCCTCGAGAGCTCCGCGGAATTAGCTTTATTATAACCTGGGGGCCATCCATACATGCCTAACAGCGCAGGAACATTCGCCGGCCAATAAGCCAAATGCTAACCAAACATTTTCGCGACTCGGCGTATCCTACAATTCATCCCTTCCTCGCGTCTCCCTGTAGCGCCGAGAGGTCCAGCAAGGAAGATCGATCTTGATTAAAGCGAGATGTGTATTTAACATGACTATCAACCGACGGTGCAAGCGTGACGACGATTCGTCACGCTTAATGTTTCGTGATTTAACTTTAGATGAACAAGATATATATCTTTCTGAAATATATGTGCGAAAAAGGAATCCTATTCTTTTATCTCAATATAATGTGAATCTTAAGAAAAATTAAACACGCGGTTTATCAATCGTGATTCCGCTTAAGATACGCCGGGCTAATACAAGATGCATCGAAGAATTAGGCGCATCTTTACTGCGGCTGCAGGGAAGTCCGATCCAGCCTTTAACGACTCTCCCTCCCTCAGGAGGAACTTTTCTGGTCGCGGCAGCGCCGTGAAACGATTAGGCCCGGATTAGTCGAGCGCGCGAGATCGATTATGCGATCCTGCGGATAACATTGGCCTGATTTATTCCCCTAATGGGCGTTCGCGCATTCATTTCGAGGCCGTGCGAGGCAATTCCACGGGGCTTCGTCGGATGGCGGTGCCCGTCCTGCCGCTGACAGGAAAACTCTCGCTGGGTGATTCAGCGTTCGGTTCGGCGACGCCTCCCAACGACCACCATAATGCCTATCTACCTCGGGTACCCACCTACCTAACGCCATTTCCATCGTCCGGGATCATAATCCAAGGTTCAATCGCGAGCCGAATGAAATCGCGTCGAAATATGACGACGAGATGTTAGAAACTAAACGGTCACAGCGGCTCAAGTACTGACCCTCTAATCGGCACCGCCGATTCTCTCATTCGTCCAGTCTGTCGATCAGAAATCGATTGGTTTCGGTCAAATTAATGGATTTAATAAAAAAAAAAGAGGAAATGACACGAGTGCTCTGCAATTTATATAAAGTACGCAGAATACTTTGCTTTAACGGCGTTCATCGATGCTGAGCGTAACAGGCAACATATAATTCGACGCGTGCATGACGCGATAAAGTAAATAAACGGATTTAAAAAAATGAGATTTATGACTAATATAGGTTCCGGCTTGAAATCGGCTGAGCGGAATTAATTTTGCGACGGCGGGATACAAGCGTCGCGCATATACGAGGGAAATTCGACAAGTCGGCGCGGAACAATTACACGATGGCGGGGAAATTAGCGATCGCGGGCGATTATTATCTCGCGTGGCGGCGTAGAGGGTGATTCATAACCCGCGCCTCGTATTTTCCGCGGACGGCACACGTCGAATTTGGTCCGGATGGGAAACACAGGCGGCATCGACACCGCACGCTCGCTCAACCGGCCCTCTTCTCCGCCGCCCCTCGCCTCTTCGTTGACAGGATTATATTCGTACGTACCCACCG